CCATCTTGTTTCCTCCATACAGTACCTTGAGCTTTTTTTCAGCACTCCATAAAGGTATCATAATAGCTAAGATCTAAGAATTAATACCAACATTAGTAGTAGGTTTTTATTTGAAAAATTATCTCATTCATTCTTTGCCAAAGCAACTAACACACTATAGAGAAGTAGGAATTTCATGGAGCTCCGCACTTAGCTTGCTGAGATTGGCACATTCAATCTAATCCACTCCTTAAGCTCTACTCCAAAGCAAGCTTGTTTGTCCCTGGGATCAATAGTCTCCAACCAAAATCTTTTTGTATTTGGGCACTCATGTAGCTTATGTGTGATATCCTTTTCAGCATCCTTGCAAATCTCACATTAGTCATCTACATGCATCCCTCGCTTTTTAAATTTATTGGAGTGCTCACCAAGGGATTTGGATCCTCTCCACACACTCCCTCATATATCTGTTTCAAAAGAACAACATGCTGAAAAATAGTCATCAATTGTCATCCCATCGAACTCTTCTAGCCCTTTTTCAAGGCCAATAAATAATAAACTTAATTTAGGGGGAATAAAATTTAAATTGTAAAAGATCAGTTTTATGACAATTACTATCCCCGTCCCTTATATAGAGTATTTTATAAAAACTTATTTTGTCTTTAAATTTAAGAGTTGTTATAAATTTTTTAAGTAGTTAAACAATTTTACCATTGTCTTGAAAAGAGAAGAGATATTAATTATATACTTTACTCTCACTACTATTATGATATCAATTCTGACATTATTAAAAACAAAATTAAAAAATTATTTTAATTTTATGTGATTTCAATTAAATAATAAAATTTTATTAGTATGTGAAATTTAAATAAAAACACTTTATATATAAAGATATAGAGGGTATGTTCAAAAATTTTGAATGAAAAATTAGTTGTAAATATAAATTCAAATAATTATAAATATGAAAATTTCAATTGTAACTCATTAGAACGTAAAACTCGGAGAAGGTAAGCTCCACTTATATGGGCTTAGACTTAGAAGTCTTGTCACCTCAAATATAGCATTTTGTTTTTTTTTTTTAAGCTTGATGCTTACTAATTAAATTTGGGGCTAGGTACAAAAGCTCCTTTAAATTAAAAATTCTGCAAAGAACAATTAAATAGATAGCTTGACACTTGACAAGTCGAACTTGTATTCACGACTTTATTAGTTTACAACTATTTAAATCTAATTAGCAACAGATCTATTAGTGAAAGACTTTATGGGATGACTATTATAAAATGATGTTTGAGGATCCAAGTAAGATAGTTGCTTTGTTTGCTTGTTTTTCCACGTCTAATTTGTGGGGCATTAAATGTGCAAGAACGGCACTTGTGAAAGTAGGGCTCGGGAAGAGTGGGGAAGCAGTTGGAAGAAGTTATTGACCGCAACTGCCGCATTTATTATTAGAGAATAATAGATAAGTTTTTAACTTACATTTCAAGTTTTAAATTATAATAATTTATAAATTTATCTCTCAATTTTATAATTTTACTATAATAATTTATAACTTTTTTTTAATTTTATCATGATTAAAAATAAATAAATATTAAAATTTAAAACACAAATTATAAATTTATCACAATAAAATTATGAAATTAAGAGTCAAACTCATAAATTTTTAAAGTTTGAGATTTTAAACCTAAGTTAGCAACACCTTTGTCATTTTCCCTTACTGTTATTATCATTTCAACTGTTCCAATTTTCCCTTCTTCACTCTTCTATCACATTCAGACGCGTCAACCTCCTCCATCATGTACTTCCACTTTGCCACCGGAATTTTCCAACCATTATGGGATCAAATGGCAAACAAGATATGGCCTTTCATGTATTTTGGAATCCAAAGCTGAATTGGTGACATATTCAATTGCTACATCTTCACTCAAAGAGTAGCGTCAAGAGGATTTGATTCTTATAACACCACCCGCTGCTGCTGGATTTACTTAAGGACGACTTTTTAAGGTTTTGCTATCATGAATAATTTTGTCTCCTCCCACTTCTATTTATAAGTGTTTTTTAACATGTCTAACCAACATTAAAAAACTACTAAAATTTATTAATTTTATTTAAAAATTTAATAAGTCTTTAATTTTGCCTGTTAGCTATACATATTTCTTCTCACTAAAATTTAATAGGTAAAAAAAGGAAAACTTGTGATGATAAATTAATTGATATGATTTATAAATAGAATAATTTTTTTTCTATCTAATAAATAAGACTGGAAAGATTACTAATAAGTCCAACATGAGAAGTGACATTAAATCTATTCTGCATGGTTTCCCATATTCACTAAGATAGCCAAAACTAAACATGATTCTATTTTTCATTTTTATACTAGATTAAAGCCAGCCACTTGGACAGTACATGAAACCCTTTTGAATATAAAAAGGGAGTGGGCATGTCTTTTCATAATCTGATCAGATCACTCCTTTTAGTTTTATTTATAGAGTAAAAAAAATTATTAATTTTGATCAATTTATATAACACTTCACTATCTTTTATATTCATTACCTTTTTACTTTATATATGTTTAAAAAAAGTCATTTAAGACAGAATTAAGGTTTAAAAAAAATTTCTTAATTCTAATGAAATGTGCAAAAAAATGACTTATAAATAGAATAAGAAAGGGTATTAAGTGTTTACAAATGTTGATACTAAAGTGAAAATACTCCAGCGCCCCCCCCCCCCCACAAAAAAAAAAACCGAAAAAAGGAAGTGGAACTACAAAATTAACTCCATCCCTATCTTCAAGTGAATGAATCTTTCAACAAATAATTTTAAAACCTAACTGTCATTAAAAGTTCAGTTTTTGAGATTTAAGTGTCATTCCCCTACCAGTGAACAGCTCCATATAAAGTCAGATGAATGAGAAAGAGAGAAACATTACAACCCTTCAATGCAAACTAACATCCAATGTCTAGGAGGAAAAAGCAAGAAAGAAGACAGTGAGACAAGAAGAAAATCTCTACCAAATGTACAGTAAATTAATTGACAGTAAAAAAGCAAGAAGCAGCCCCAGCATCCATTGCATTTTACTCCAACCATTTTGTATTCAGACCACATCAGCTTCCATTTGCATTTTACTGCAACCCTACCTCAATTTTGTGTTCAGACCACATTAGCTTAAGGGGATTATTGATGTGCTGTCTAAATGCTTCTTTCCTGTATCTTTCATGGACTGATCACCATGACTTATATTGGTGGCATTCTCTGTACCAACGGTTCCACCACCTTCAGGTGCAAAATGATCCTCTTGTACAGGGATCCTCTTGTACAGGGTTCACACCATGCATGTCCAGGTTTCTTGATGATAACTCATTATCATTAGCCATCATACAGTGAAAAGGATGAGTGGGAATAGATTCCACGCCAAAATTAGATTGAACAACGGCACTAAATAATGGCTGCATTACGCGCTTTCTCTCCGATGATTTGCGTAAAGAGATTCGACATACAGGGCATGTCGAATGCTGCTGCAGCCATAGGTCTATGCAGGTTGCATGGAAGAAGTGTCCACAATATGGGAGGATGCGCAGTACATCCTGACCTTGGTATTCAGAGAGACAAACTGTACATCTACAAATACAACAAATATAAATGTTCATAAGCAAGATATACTTATCTGAAAGGACAATATACACACATCAGTATCATTCAAAAATTGCCCCAATCTACAAAGTAATTTTTCACACGATGAACTTATAAGAAACTGTAGTGATCTCTAGACTCTAGTGTTTGTATAGATTACTTTTACAGGAGTAAAGGAGTCTAACCCACTGCCAAAGCCATGCTAGAAAATTGGAACAAGGTGATGACTGATGAGATATTCAATTAAAAAATACAGAACCATTAATCAGTGCAAACAAAAACGCCAAGAGAAAGAAATAAGTTATATCACGCAATCAGCACAAGTGCAGTAAGTGAACAGAAGAAGATTACAATATTAAACTGTGAAACACTGCTAAAGAACAATAGTCCTAATCCAGTTAGTGTAAACACACTATCTTCTGTCTATACCATGAGAAATAAAGGAACTAATAGACACTTTCTCTGAAAAGCATAACATAGAAAGCTTTTTCTCAGCTATTCAAGGAAAGAGCTCAGCATCACCTATGTAACCATTCTAGGCTCTCCAGTCTCCAGTATGCTAACCATACAAACGACCATAACAAAAATGGGCACTAATTAAGGGGGAAAAATCATTTCCGTCAAAATGGGGCCGAAAGAACATGGATTATTCTTCACATCCTTGGATCAAGTCACAACAAGGATAATATCTTCCAATTAAGGGAATAAGGCCATTTTGTAAATGCAAATATAGGAACATGTTAAATATTGCAGACTCGTATCTTCAAAATGACATGAATTGGAAGATAGGGCAATGGTGCACAGAACATTCACGAGACCGATGATGCTTATACCAAATACAACGAGTTCCTTTTTCCTAACTTCTTCAACTTGGGATTGTAAGATTACCCTGACTCTTTCCCAGCTTCACTAGAAATACTTTTATCAATAATTCAATAGTAAAATGAATATCAAGTAATTTTCAAAAGTGTATTGACTTTTCCCTTGTATAACTGCAACTTCACAATGGACGCGGAAAGTGCAGGGAGAATCAAATGTATATAATCAGCCTTTTCATGTGGCAGAACCGCAGAAGACAGACATTGTCAATAGATTAACAAATTAACAAGGGACCAAACATATAGCATCTAAACTAATACCATAGAAGGCCATAAAACCAGGGAGTACATTTCATTTACTCGTACAAGTCCTTCATTGACCATGGCAATGTTCAGATTTGACTTCTTCATTACCAACTCCAGTCTCAATCTTTCTTATAGTAATTTTTTAAAACAATTAAATGACTAATGAGCAACGTAGATTCCAAGTCTGAAATCAACTTTTTTCCTGAATTTGGAACAAACTAAATAGGCATAAATCGGATCATCAAGCACCGAGCAATACTTTCCAAGTTAATATACACTCATCCACTATGCACCCCTCCTACATTAAAGAGAGAGCAGGAGGGGAAAAAGTTGGATGTTAAGATGATGATAATATTCCAAAAACAGAGAAATGAACGTACTGAGAATTTTCTGCAGCAGCAAAGCATCCATCACTGTACTTCTTCGTTGGGAAGTTCTCTACTGATGTGGGTTCAAGACCATGAAATCCCCGCTCCAGCTGAACACGGGAAGATGTTCAATGGGTAAAACCTCAGAACAAATTAAATGCACTAAATGGAAATAAAGCGCTGTTATGAAAGGGCAAATTCACAAAATGTGATTCAGTAACATAATTTTGTAAAATAATTGAACAATACAACTTAAGAAAATTTTTAACTAAGCTCCAAAGTTTGCGACTGTAAAATCTGTATTGCAAACAAAGAAAAAAGAGGTCGAAACAAGGAAAACTGACGTTTACCAGACTCAGATCGGATCTGGAAGCAATAAGGAGGGATCGGCGAGAAGCATTCAAGTGAATTCGAGCACATATAAGTCTAGTGCAAACGAAAACGATGAACATAGTGCTCATCGCAAATCCAATCACAGTCATCACCAAGTTAACCCCAGAAGATATCATAACGACCAAAATCGCCCATACGAACAACCCAAATTCAAAATCGAAACGAAAACCAATGAAACCAAAAAAACTAACACATCCGAGCTCTCAGGCCGTCCATTGTCTGAAGAAATCAGACAAGAAATTCCAAATGATTGCGAAGAAATAGGCGTCGTGGTCGCCCCGGTGCCATGTTCTAGTGACACTCACAGGCGAGAGAAAACGGAGTAAACCAAGAAGGGGCTGTCAATCACAGAGAATCTTTATTTCCTGTTGAGAGGAAAGAAAGGAGGAATTGTAATTTTGGAATTTGGACTGTCGTATTGAATAGTGAAAATGAAAGGGGGAAGACGAGAGGCCATGGAAGTGAGAGAGTGAAGTGGATGGGACTGGGAGAGGACAGCGCTGGCTTGGGAATACGGAGAAAGGTGTCATTTGATGGACGTGGATTTGAGATCTGAATGGCACGCTGAAATTAGGAAATCGCTGGATTTCTGGCGCTGAATCAAAGCATCGTACTCATGTCTTATCTGTGTCCCACGTGTTAAACTTTCCCACTTTTTCATTATTTGGAATGTCACATGCAAGAAGCGGACCTTTTTTATTTTTTCGTTGGTTACCCAAAATATTTCAATAGCCGACAACTCTGAAACTAATTACTCAAAAATTTAGTAAACGTTATTTAAAGAGTTGTTTTCTATTTAATAATTTTTTTATACACTTCTTCAAAAATAAATCTTCAAATAATATTTGAGAAGTTCAAACTATTATTATCTATATCATGTTCACTTAATAAAGAACATGAACCTTAAAAAGTAATTCAAATCATATTTATATTTTATCAAAATTAATAAATAGTTGGATTTTTAAATTAATTTTTATCAAATATATAACTGAAAATTAAATACATACTTAATGTTTGAGAAGATTGTCCACAAAAAATAAATGCAAACAGTAATATACTTTTCTTGTCCAATAAAACACCTTCAACTATTTCAACGAAATCAAATAAAAAGATAATTAAATTATCATTTTGTTTGAAAATTAAAATAAACTTTTAATTTTATATTTATTTTAATAAAAAATTTTAAATTTATATTACATTGTCTTTTGTATTTTATGATTTCAAATAAATATAATATTTAAAAAAATATAATTAATATCTCGTTAAATATTTCATAATAAAAATCAACAAATATTTTTAAAATGCATCCTACATTAAGGATCGAGTAGAGTATACAGTAAGATGTACCATTCTCAAAGTGAAAAGTGGAAATAATTCTTATAACTTTCCCTCCACTAGCTTTCTTCAACACACGCACACACTCTCAAAGTGAAAAGTGGAAATAATTCTTATAACTTTCCCTCCACTAGCTTTCTTCAACACACACACACACACACACACACACACACACACACACACACACCACACACCACACACACACACACACACACTAGTACTTATCTATTTAATTTCTTGTGGTACCTAATATAAGACAAAATTAATTAACTTCACCTTATTAAAAAATTATTACTTCCTCTATTTTAAGTTATAAAATATTTTTAAATAAAATCTCACATACTAATAAACCTCATTAAATATACTTAATAATATTATCTTTTCAAAATAAAAATAAAATTTTTTAAAAATACTCATCATTTAATATATTGAATAGAAAAGGGATGAAAATTAATTATAAAAAAAGGATAATATTGAAATTAATATATTTAATGAAATCTTAATCTACTCAAAGTGTCTTATATTTTAGAATAAATTTTTTTTTTAAAAATGCCCTATAATTTGAAACGGAGGAGTATATTCTTAAAATTATAAAAGAAATATGTAATATTTTAATTTTATCCTTATTTATAATTAATAATCCTAATAAATTGATGTCTAGGAATTCAAACCATAATAAATATATAAGGGTGAAATTAAAAAAAATAAAATTAATTACTCTAACTTTGCATTATATTAAAGACAAAAAAAACTTTTAAAATTTGTTTTATATTAAAAATCAAAGAAGGTATACATACATACATACATACATATATTACTCTGTAAATAATCATATTTTTATTGTACATTATTAAAAGTAATTCTATTTGAGACTAGATACCACATTTGAGTACCTAAAAAAAAAAATCATGACTTTGTTAATCACCAAGGAACAACACTTTGCTAAAAAAAAAAAAAAGGAACCGCACTTAAATGGCATCAACCTTAATAAAAGGGTAGAGGAAATTAAAGAATGTAAAAATCAGATATCTTATCCAATCCGCCGGGTCATTATTTACAAAAATGAAAGTATATGAATATGTTGGTGAAAAAAAATTTATATGAATATTAAAAAAAGTAAAAAAGAAAAAAAAAAAGAAAAAAGGAATCAAATAAGGAATTACAGAGCTCGCGCGCAATACTTTACAATTTACATGTATTTTGTGTTCCTGCTCCTCACAACCTACAAGCATCAACGTAGCAATCAAATTTAGTTGTATATATCTTCATCTTCCTTTGACATTCTTACCAGCGCTTGTATTATTACCCTTCTCACCAACGTTGTCATTATCTACATGAACGATTCTCACCTTAAATCGATTCAACTTCAAATCAGAATCGCCACCAAGTGACCGTTGGCCCACGCTCAAACTTCTCTGAACTGTCTTCGTCTTGTGCTTCGATTTGATCCCAGAGAACAAAGCTCCAATTTTGTCGAACAGTTCCACAAAATCCTCTTGAAGACCAGAAGGAACAATCTTCTGAAACGTCTCTGCTCTTCGGTGATAGAGGTGCCTGAAGAATTCCAGCAACCTCAGAATCCTCGGATCAGCCGATTCTCCTGTTTCTGTCTGAAATCCATAGTACCCATCGCACATGTCCCCGAAATCATCCTCGAGCATGCCGCTTTCCAGAATTGGGATTTTTCTCAGAGGACTTTCGTCGATCACTTTGGCTTCAGTGGATGGCATCGCTTGCTTGTGAGATTTCTTTGCTTCTTTCAGACCTTCTATGAACATCAAATTCTTGGGGTTACAGGGTTTTGCAAATTTGAGACAAGTTTTGGTCTTGATATATGGAGCCTTTATGCACAGATTTAACCTTGAGCTGTAGTATTTGTTTTTGTGCGCGCGCGCGCGAGAGAGAGAGATGGAGGGTACGTGGTGTGCAAGATTGGGAATAGCGTTAAAAAATCAAATTTACGTGAATTTCAAGCCATTTTTTAAAAAAGTTGCAGACTACTCAGATTTTCTAGATGATTGCAGAAGACCGGGTGTTTTTGAAAATTCCAATTGTTGCAAATTAAGGAAGCAAGTATACTCGTAAAATGACTTTTTTTTTTTGGGACATAAAAAGAGGAAACTAGCCCAAAATTACAAATAAAATCAAAGTAGTTGAGAATTTAATCCCAAAATATCATTTTGAATTAGGGCCCTTATATGAAGTTTGGGCCTGTGTCATAAATTTGTGATTCATTAAATCTATTCTTTGCCATTACATCAGCAGCACGATTACTGTCATTTGAGATGAATCTTATCTGAAAACTCTCTTGAGCTCTCACTATTTCTTTGATCTCCATCATAACAATGTTGATATGTCCTGTCTAAAGACATCGCTTTTTAAAGTATCAACCAATAATTTCAAATCAGACTCAAAAATAACTCTTAAATACCCTGTATCCACAGCAATATGGAGGTTCCTCAACAAAGCCCATGCTTCTGCTTTTAACTGTTACTCAAGACATGGGGATACTTGCATATTAGGACTTTTTGTTACTGAAGTTTGAAGAAACTTAGCCATGACATAATGTTCATGTCATACATTTTTCTAAGTAGATTTGTTTAACACAAAGGGTCAAGAACTAAACTTTCAATCACTCGGTGCCTGGGTGGATTTGTGTTCAAAATTAATTATTTGTACGAAAATTATGTTTCCATAAAAATTATCCAAACACCTCTTCTTTCACATGATCGATTATCTTACCTTAAATGGCGTTCTGGTTGAAGTTGATCGCTCGTACTTCTCAAGATCGATTATAATTTTTGGGACATTTATTTTTGTTAAAATTTTGAATCTGCTGGAGATAGCCCTTTCATTGTATGGATCATGACTAAATCCTTCTACCGATCATTCTCTGATCTTACCTGCATCCTCACAAGAACGTGTTTGCATCTTCTTCCTCCAGTGACCGCTAGCATTCAAGTGTGACCTCCCTCTTCACTCTACCATGAACATCGTTCAAATCTCTGACACCCTCCTCTTCGACCTGCAACTCTTCTTCCATGATTTGTGATTTCATCTTCCTCGATCTAATCTATTAATGCGTGCCTTCAATAGAAAATGCAGAGACAGAGGTGGCTTGACAAGGTAATGGGAGTCAAGGTGTTAATTGAGAGAAGGTGGGTGAGATGATTCATAGATGAAGACCATGCTCCTCTTCTTTTTGGGTGATGCTTTCCTTTTCATTTTGTATAGATTAAGTTATTCACATTATAATATAATATAATATATTTTAAATTTATATTGTTTATCATATGTGTTAAATAACTATATAAATGAGTATTATATTTTGTTGTTAAATAAATAAAAAAAATAAATTTAATGATATTATAAGCAATTTTATCAATATTTATCCTAAAACTCACGTCCTTTATTGTAATTTAAACATGTTAAATTAATTTTGATAAAAATTATTCAAACATCTTAAATTTATGAAAATTAATTTCAAAAAATACTATTCAAACACCATTAAATTATAACATAATTACTTATAATTAAAACTTATTCTATTAATCAATTTTTTATAATAAATTATACTACCGTTGGTGTAGAGCACAAAAACCCTATATTTAGTTGAAAATTATACTTGGAGGCTAACTCACACAATGGATTTGAGAGTAATAACCTTTCAATACATCAAAACATGTTGATACCCGTAAAGAAGCCATTAATTTCTTCAAAAAATGACTAAAAAAATTACTTCTTATAGAATTACACAGTTGTTGTTTTACTATGTTGACTTGTCAAAGAAGCTTGTAATATTTTCACATGCAGTTCCTTCTGAGCTGTCATATCTTGACCGATGGAAATGTTGAAAAAATTATATTCATAGCTGTTTTTATGTTGAGAAAAGAAAACCTTGCGAAGAAAAACTAAAAAAAATAGATAAAACTGGGAAATGGAGACAGACCTCCGCAATTGAAAATAAGTAACCCACCAGAATTTAGCTTCCAAGAGAACTAATAGGATCTTTTGTCATGAAATTTTCCTTTCCCAAGCATCTAGTATTCATGACAAATCCGATTTAGTTGCATGTGTTGCTTTTACAACCAATAACTTGAGTGAGTAGGGCTTATATAAGCTAAGTTTATTTAAATCAGATTTAAAATACTTAAACATGTAAAAAAAAACTTATACAGTCCAATT